CAGGAACAGGAAACTATCCCAAGCAGGGCTGGGAGGGGGGTATAAAAAGACCTTCTGCCCATGTGCTCACTCTCTTTTCTTCTCCTCTGCTGCCTATCTGTCTTCTGCAATAAACTGTAACCTTCTTCCCAAAGCAGTCGCCATGTTTGCTTATTTATTCCCGGCTTGGATGAACCAGGATGAAGACTTACTCCTAACATAGGAAACAAGATCGGATAAATAATGGTATTATCTTTGCTTTGTTGTGTTGGAAGAAAAGTCAGAAAAGTCTTCATCCTGGTTCATCCAAGCAGGGGATAATAAACAACATGGTGTGAGATGTAAAAACCCCAAATTTTGATACTCACAATACGAAGACAACTCTGGTTAACAAAACAAAGGTTTATTGGAGAATAACATAAAAAGAATAAAAAGAGAAGAGAAGCGTTTGCAAACGGGCCTCCTGGATCCTTCCCTAATGGATTGGTTTCCAGGAGCACCCTGGCCTCGTTTCAAACTCTGCATCTTATAGCTCTACAATGCATGCCACATCTAAGAAACTCTTTCATCTTTATAATGTCCTTTGAAGGAGTCCTTTGTACTTAGTCATCCTGACCTCTTCCACCCATCTGCTGTTATCTTGTTTATTTGTAATTTTCACCTAAGGTCAAAATCCCCCTCTTTGATAGTAGGATTTCTACTCAAAGTGTAAGTTCCTGTGTCCGGAGGATTTTTAGGCAGTAAACACTGAACAAACTTTCTCACACATTTGGCAGTGCATTGCTACATTTGTGTTACAGTGTTACATTTGTGTTAAATAGACAGTCTCATATATTGGCATTACATTTCTACAATTATTTTTCTACAATTTTATAAAAGAATAACTTTTACTTCCTTCAATTCCCCCTTTTTCTCTTCCACCTGAATTTATTCTTTTATACTTTTAATAGTTCATAACTCCCTATATTTTCTTTAGATTCCTGTGCAAGCAAGTTTTCATATTCTGAGTCTTCTTTCCCCCAATGTTCCTTAAAGTATTGGGCCCATGGTCCTTCCTTCTACCAAAGAAGGTACGAAGGAAACAACAGTAGCAGAAGAAAAATTT